ACCCCTGAAATGAGTGCTGGAAGTGATTTGTTTAAGGCTAGTAGGGGGTGGTTCAATAAATTTAAGGAAAGTATTTATAGATTAGATAGTACATTAGACATGCACTGTATATAAGAAAGGTTAAAATAGGGAGATGTTACCGACTGGGGTTACCGGCTGGCACCTTGGTTCTTCTCATTGGCACAGAAAACAATTTAAGGACAATGAAAACAAAAGTAAAGCAAAGTGGATTTGTTGAAAATACACTCCAAGCGAGGAGCAGACCAGTTAAGAGAGAGAATGGCCCCAAACTTCCTGGGTTATTTGGTTTAAAAGAGGGATTTTCTGGTTGGAGACTTTCATTTGCATCCAAGAATGACTGACAGAAAAAGGGTTATATAACTACTAGAGGCTCTGTGCATGAAATTCGTGCATGGGTGTGGTCTCTAGGACTGGCCGGCAATCGAAGCGTGAGCATCTGGTGTCGAAGGGCAGGTCCCAGCTGACCTCTGGGCCCTGGGCAGCACCTGGGCCCCAGGACCTCCCTCCACCTGAGTCACTGTGCACGAATCCCCACAGAGAGATGCGGTGAGCACGGCTGGATGCCATGGGCCTGGGCGCAGCATGGGCCTCTGGGCCACCCAGCAGCTCTGCATGGAAACCAGGCAGGCAGTGCGCACTCTCTCCTGGCCAGCCTCATGAGACCGGCTCCTGCACGAACCCATGGGAGCCCGATTGGCCCCTGTGGTCCTGGTGGCTGCGGCCTGGCTCACCCATGGTCCTGCTCTCATTGGGGCCCACCAGGGCCAGCAGTGCCTCCACTGCCGCCTGCTGCCAGTGCCGTGTCGCCAACGCCCACCATGTTCCGCGACGCCCTCTGGTGGTCAGCGCACATCATAGTGAGCAGTCGAACTCCCTGTCAAACAATTTGCATATTAGGCTTTTATTATATAGGATATTTCTTCAGTGCATGCCCTTACCCATATTGCATACATAAAATCCCATGGAGGTGGGGGGTTGGGAGAATCAAAATCACAATGCAAAAATTTGAGATGTTTTTATTGATTTCAGAGAGAGGACGGGAGAGAGAAACATCAATGATGAGAGACATCAATCACTGAGTGGCTGCCTTCTGCATGCCCCCTACTGGATATTGAGCTAGAAACCGCAGCATATGCCCTGACCTGTAATAGAACCAACAACCTCCTGGTTGCTGCTCAACTGCTGAACCACACCAGCTGTGCTCGTGTGATTTTCTTAAATCACATGAGATTATTTTTAGAGAGAAAGGCTGCATAGCATGGTTGTTAAAGAGCAAAGACTTTGGCCCTGGCCAGTGTGGCTCAGGTGGTTGGATGTTGTCCCATGAATCAAAAAGTTGCCAGTTTGGTTCCTGGTCAAGGTGCATGCCCAGGTTTTAGGCGCCATCCCCCTTGGGGTAGTGTGGAAGGCAGCCAATCTATGTTTCACTCTCACATCAATGTTTTTCTTTCACTCTCTCACCCATCTTCTCCCTTCCTCTCTCAAAAAAATCAATCTTTTTTTAAAAAGAGCAAAGGCTTTGGATTTGACAGATCTGGATCAACTTCTGGCTTCTACACTTTCAAACTGTCTTTGAACAAAGTATCTCACCTTTCTAAGTCTCAGTTTCCTAAACTGTTGAGAATAATAATATCAATCTTTTAGGGTTTTTGTTGGAAGCGCATAGTAAGTTTGCAATTTATCTAAAATAGATAAATCTCTGTGAACAGGACACAGTGCAGAATGATTACAATGGAGAGAAGGTGTTTCAACAAATATGTACTGAGTGGTAGGCACTCAGTAGTGAGCTATGGGGACTGGGGCATAATACAAAACATATTTCCTTCAGTCCCCAGGAATTTGTCTGGTGGGTGGCACTGAGGGTAGAGGGTGCACCTCCTTGTACAGATTATTTTAATAGTAATATGGTTTTAAGAGTATACAGAAGCAAGCGGAGAAGCCAATGAAAGTGACTCATGGGAAGGTATATCAGGGAAGATGACACCCACGCTGAGTATTGAAGGATGATAAAATTCGGCCTGATAAAGACCAGAAGGGCTTCCCTGGTAGCAGAATCAGCACAAGCAAATGCCTGAAATGCCTATGTATCTGTCACCTCTCTAGTTCATGTCTCCCAAATTCCAGGCTCCCCTCTGAATTGCAAACTAAACATCTTCACTTGGGTGGCCAATAGCCTTATTAAAATCTCCCCCACAAGGTGGTCCACTTAGCTTTTCCCATCTCTGATGATGGCGACTCCAGCCTTCTGGCTGCTCATGCCAAAATCCTTGGAGTTATTCTCAACAACTTAATGTTGTGACATCCCCATATCCAACTTGTCTGGAAATTCTCTTGGCTCTACCTCTAAAAAAATGCAGAATCTGAGTTACTGCTATGGGTATGAGCCATCAGCTCTTGCCTGCGTCTACTTGTGGTCATTCACATTCTCTATACAGGACCCAGAGTGCTCCTTTTCAAATAAAAGTAAAATCACTGTACGGGTACTTCTCCATTCAAAACTCCTATGGTTTGAATTTCACTCGGGGCCCACAAAACCTTTCATGATTTGTTTCTTCCACTTCCCTTTACCGTTCTGTTCTTTTCTTCTACTCTCCCTTCACTCCATTTGGCCCTCTGATTTTGTTTGGCCAAGGTGGTGGTTTATTTGTCTTTGTCTATGAAATACTGAAAAGGCAGGTGTGATGGTTCCTTGCAATACAAGCCCCCCATTGTCTTACTCCTTGCCTAACATTCACATACCTGCAGGCTCCTGGCTGGCATTAGAGACTCCCCACCCCCACTCTCACTGTAGGAGGCAAGTATGGAGTCACTGAAGGTTGTAAGGAGGTCAGATTTGCATTTAGATTATTTTGCTTTCAGCATGGAGGATGGATTTACAGGGAACTCCACTGAGAGAAAAGACTATAAGAGGAACAACTTAATGGAGTTTTTACAACAGTCCAAATGGGTACCTGTGCTAAGGCTGTGTAGTGGGGGTGGAGAGAATTTTACAGATTCCCACAATACCTTAAGGTAGAATTGTTATTGACGGGGTCTGCGCTTGGAGCAGGCCCCACTGGTAGTGTGTGGGTTCTTGACTTTATGTAGGAAAGATTTCACAATAGCAGCCCAGGTGATTTGGAAAGTGTGCTTATTAAAGCTAGGGGCAATAAAACAAAGGACGGGCTTAAGGTAGAAGAAGCAGTCAGAAAAAGTCAGAGAAACGGGGGCCTTGGAGATAGGTTCAGGGGATACGCCCCGGATAAGCTGCTGCTGCCCTATGTTCCCCTGGTTGCAAGTTCTGTGGGATCCCTGACAGTTTAGGAGAAAACCAGCAGTGATATGAGGCGTGGGCATACTCTAGTGAGAGTGCGCTGAGGGTAGAGTGTGTTTATTAAAGCTGAGAGTACGTGTATTAAAGCTGGGGATAGCGAAACGAAGGAAAGGCTTAGGATAGAAGCAGCAACAGGAGAGAGTCTAGGTGGGACTGCTTTGACTTTGAGAAATTAAAGTTTCAGTGACAGAAGGGAGCTCACTGGGATGTTAGAGGAAAAGGGGCCCTAGAGACAGGTTCAGGGGGTAAGCCCAGGACCAGCTGCTGTTGCTCACTGCTCCCCTGGATGCAAGTCTCAGAGGGACCTTAGAAAAAGAGCAGAGACAAGACATGGGTGTGTGGCCCATAGCTTCTTTTGTCTTGAGGCTTTTTATCTCTCTCTGGTCAGGGGATCCTAGAGGAAGTCTCAGAGGAGGGTCCCAACAGAATACTCATTCGCTTTTCAGGTGTGTCCTTTAACACATTGATTCGTCAAAATGTGTATATAGAGGGGTTAGGGTTATTTTCTGGTTGGTTTTATTATTAAAGAACGTTATTGAAGAGGGACCAGGACTGACGCCGGTCTGCCCAGGCAAGGTCTGGACTGTGTAACCATTTGCTGCTCCTAAGGTTGCTCAGTTGGGAAGATAAACCTTGTGATTAGCTGACTGTAAATTGCTCAGATGGTTTGGCCTTGTTTAACTATTTTGTCTCAGTTTCACTATTCCACCTGTCAAGGAATTCCCCTAGCTTCTTACTAACCTCCCACAGAACTAGGACCCCGTACTTGACTGAATATGTGCTTTTTGCTTCGAGTCACTTGGTGCTGCCTACTGAACTTGGAGTTTTTGTAGGAAGGTGAAATTTGAAGATAAGGAGCAGGAAAATGTAAATTTCCTTTTGGACATTTGGATTTGGGAGCATGCAAGGAAAAGCCAGCATAGTGTATAGCAAGCAGTAGGATTTACAGTTCCTGGGCTCAAAAGGGGAGGACTGGGCTGGAAATTTGAGTTGACCATGACTTAAATGTTCATTTTTTTCTAATTACAAGTTGTTTCAAATTTCACTTTTCACTTAAACTCAACGTAAGTTTTTCTGATACACTACCAGCATCCTGAAGTTACTGTCCCCTCTAAATGGCCTCCTCGGGTGATTTTTAAAGCTTAGATATCTTGAAAATGCAGCAGTCCTCACCAATGGGAGCAAAAGTCCGGGAAAGACCTGGCTTCACGTGCTCATGAGCTCATGAATGATATTCGCTTGTTACACAGGCATCCATGCAACCGGAAATGAACTCGAGAGATGCGTGTCGAACGTCCTCTTTCATTAGCAAGAAAACTCTTGAGCCCACTGCTCCCTTCTCCCTCCTCTTCTCAGGCCCGCGGGCCTTTTCTTACTGTGGGTCGTCCCATTGCCCGACGGGCAGGGGCCTCCTGTTTCGGGAGAACCGGCCTGTAACGACGCGCGTCTCCAGGGGCCTGGGCGGAGGGGGGGGGGGGGAGGGCGCCCGGGTGGGTTCGGGGCGCGCGTGGCCCCCGCCAGTCTGGCCACCGTCCTGGCCTCGGGCGCGCGCCCTGCCCCGGGCCGCCCGCCGCCCGCATTGTCTAAGCTCCATAGCAACTCGGGCGAGGCGGGGCCGCACCGCACCGGCCGGGCCGCGCGCTCCGCGTCGGCTGCGCTCCCGGGACGGACCGGCCGGCGCTGTGGGCGCTGGGCCCGACGCCGATGGGGCCCTGACGGCCCGGGGACGCGCGGAGCGCAAGGGCGGCGGCATGCCCGAGCGGCGGCTCACCGCGGGTAGGTGGCGGCCCGCGGGACGGGGCGGACGGGCGCCCGGACCCCGACCTGCCGCCCGTGTTACCGTCCCCGCCCCGCGTCCCCTCTCCCAAACCTCGGAAAACGCCCCCCCCCTCCCCCATTTCCCCGGAGCGTTTTGTTACCATATTCACCACCTCTTCTCCCCCCGTGGACACTGCCCCGATGGCACCAGGTTATTTTAATTTGCTTAATTATCTGCTGTGCAGCTGGACTCATCACAGGGAACCCGTGACCCGCTGGTTCCGGAGGCCTCTCCCCCCATTTTAACCTCGAATTCCAGCGTGAGGTCCAGTCCAGGTGCGGAAAGTGCACCGAGGGCTCCCAGTTCACCGAGCTTGCCCGTGTGTAAGGGAGGGCGAGGTGCTTTCAAAGGAAATCAGATCTGAGTGAGATAATGTAATGTTTTATCTTGTTTCAGAGCCACCAACTCTGACAGAAGCAGACTTTGTAAGTACAATTTAGAGGGCTGCTATTTTTCCTCTGGCTTTTATTTTATTTTTAAATAGCAAATGTAGAAAAAAGCTGTATATTTTCTTTTCTTCTTTTTGCCAAATGAGTGTGATAGAAGCTTTGGCTTAGTAACAATGGTGCTGATGGAGTACAAGACCCTTTTACAGGTACATTTTTAAGAAGGGGCTCATTGATCTTTGTAGTGGATGCTATTCACTGTTAAAGTTTGTTTACATAAATGGCCTCATTTAATTTCTTTAAACTCTTTAATGAAACCCTATGAGAGAAAGGTTTTATATCCATGGTTTTATCGCGATGAGGCCATGCAGTTCCTGGTTGTAGTAAACATCACTTGATGGTGTTGATTGAAAATAAGTGGCCAACTTAGAGTTATGGTTCCTTTAAAAATGTACTGAATGTTTTCACGTCAGACTTCTGGAGAGTTGAGTAATGATAAGTACTTTGCCATATACATTATGTATATTGCCCTTCGGGCGAGTACTATATTTAGGATGGGTTTTACTGTGTTTCTTACTGTGGATTTAATGAACTTGTCCAAGGTTAAGCAGCTAGATAGGAGGTAGCAGAGCCTAACTCCTGCTATCGTCTGAATAGGATTTCAAGAGCTATAGCGACTTCTCTGCATTATTTGCTTATGTCCTCCAGCACTTATTTCTCTGGTTGGCCAATTATCTTATTTGCTTTTGGCTTTTAATTCAACAAACATGAGTACCTTCTAAATTCACAGTGTAGTGATCAATGCTGACGATAAGTCTTGAAAAGTTCACAGTCTAGCAGGGGCTCTGAGAGGAGAGGGTTAGGGCTGTGCCTGCTAGCACCTTCCACGTTCGCCCTCTCAGGGCTTTGGCCCACTACCAAGAGAGAGACCAAGGGAGAGAGGCACATAGAGGACGTCACAACTCCTCCATCTCCTCATTGCCTTGGTATAGCTGTGTAGCAGCAAATTTCTTTTTTTTAAATATATTTTATTGATTTTTTACAGAGAAGAAGGGAGAGGGATAAAGAGTTAGAAACATCTATGAGAGAAATCGATCAGCTGCCTCCTGCACGCCCCCCACGGGGGATGTGCCCGCAACCAAGGTACATGCCCTTGACCGGAATCGAACCTGGGACCCTTCAGTCCGCAGGCCGATGCTCTATCCATTGAGCCAAACCGGTTCGGCAGCAGCAAGTTTCTTTTCTTTTTTTTTTTTTTTTAATTAAATCTTTATTGTTCAGATTATTACATTTGTTCCTCTTTTTTCCCCCCCAAAACTCCCCTCCTCCCAGTTCCCGCCCCACCCTCCGCCCTCACTCCCCACCCACTGTCCTCATCCATAGGTGCACGATTTTTGTCCAGTCTCTTCCCGAATCTCCCACACCCCTTTCCCCCCCAAGAATAGTCAGTCCATTCCCTTTCCATGTCCCTGATTCTACTACAATCACCAGTTCATTCTGTCCATCAGATTATTTATTCACCTGATTCTTAGATTCACCCGTTGATAGATGCATATTTGTTCATAATTTGTATCTTTACCTTTGTCTTCCTCTTCCTTTTCTTAAAGGATACCTTTCAGCATTTCATATAATCCTGGTTTGGTGGTGATGAACTTCTTTAGCTTTTCCTTGTCTGTGAAGCTCTTCATCTGACCTTCAATTCTGAATGATAGCTTTGCTGGATAGAGTAATCTTGGTTGTAGGTTCTTGGTATTCATCACTTTGAATATTTCTTGCCACTCCCTTCTGGCCTGCAAAGTTTCTGTTGAGAAATCAGCTGACAGTCGTATGGGTATTCCCTTGTAGGTAACTGAGCCTCTTTCTCTTGCTGTTTTTAAGACTCTCTCTTTATCTTTTGCTCTTGGCATTTTAATGATGATGTGTCTTGGTGTGGTCCTCTTTGGATTCCTTTTGTTTGGGGTTCTCCGCGCTTCTTGGACCTGTAAGTCCATTTCTTTCACCAGGTGGGGGAAGTTTTCTGTCATTATTTCTTCAAATAGGTTTTCAATATCTTGCTCTCTCTCATCTTCTGGCACCCCTATAATTCTGATGTTGGTACGCTTGAAGCTGTCCCAGAGGCTCCTTACACTATCCTCGCATTTTTGGATTCTTTTTTCATTTTGCTTTTCCGGTTGGGTGTTTTTTGCTTCCTCGCATTTCAAATCATTGACTTGATTCTTGCGCTCCTCTGGTCTGCTGTCGGGAGTCTGTATAATATTCGTTATTTCAGTCCGTGTATGCTTAATTTCTAGTTGGTTCCCCAATATAAGATCGAGGGTCTCATTAGTTTTCTTGTAGATCTCATTAAGTTTATCGGCGGCTTCTAAACAATTATTGAGAGACCTTAAAAGTGTGGTTCTGAACTCTATATCTTCCATTGACAATTTTGTCCTGTTTCTTTGTCTCCGCATTTTGTTATGCTTCCTTGGTGCACCCCCTAGTGGTCTTTGTTCGCAGTCTTATAGTTAAACCTTGATTGTTGTAGCTAATTCCAGGGAGGGTTTGACCTCCAGGCCAAGTGGCTATGAGAATCAGCTGTGTCAGCAGTGAGAGAACTTCTGTCCTCTAGGGAGGTGCTAATCTGGCGTTTGCCTGAGGCTATCCGGCAAATGCCTCAGTGCAGGGCTTGGGCGGGGCGGGTCGCACAGGATCAACACGGTGGGCCGGAGAGAGCAGTTATGGCGGCTCTCAGTCCTGTCCCCAGGGGCTCTGCCTCTCTGAGTCCCAGCACCCGCTGCAAAGCTCAGAGAGAAAGAGCAGCAAGTTTCTTTAAGCGGCTTCCTGAACTATTCTTCATTCCAGCCAGAGGCCAGCATGTCTGGGGTCAGCTAATCTTTCCCGTGCAACTCCAGCATCCGTGCTCCAAAAAGCCCTCAGCAGCATCACACTTAACCTCGGAGCAGTCTGCTGATCTCTTCAGGATTTTGTAACTTTCGAAGCCTCTATCAGTTGCTCCTCGTTCTCTTGGTTCCTTTGATGCCACTATCTCCCAGTTCTTCCATCTCTCATTTTATGTCCCCCCTTCTGGCTCCTTTTTTTCTTTGCTGGTGAAAGTGTTGACCTTCTTCAGGATTCTGTTCGACAGGCTTTCTTTCGGGGAGCTCCTCTTCTGCTAGTTTCAGCTACCCTTATTTCACAGGGCTTCCACACTTACTATGTACCGGTTAATAATGCGGATTTTTTCAATAGATGGAATTACACATATGTTGATATATATGCGATTTGATATGTATGCTCTTTTGTTGTATTGACAACAAGCTTCAAAACTTCGTATGTCAAATTTTCTGAAGATGTTAACATCATAGATATTTTTACGCTTAAAAATGTCGAATTTCGTGCCAATAAAAGCATTTGTGGGAAGCTTTAATTCATTTATTTTGAAGAAAAGTGTTTCTGAAAGTTATCGTATACTTTGGGAAGCCTATGGTGAACATGCTCCCATCTCAAGATACTGTGAACGCTGGTTTCAACGCTTTAAAAGTGATGATTTCAATGTGAAAGACAAAGAACATCCAGGTCAACCGAAAAAATTTGAAGACTAACAATTACAAGCATTATTGGACGAAGATGCGTGTCAAACTCAAAAACAACTTGCAAAAAGATTAAAACTTGATCAGCAAACAATTTCTGATCATTTACAAGCAATGGGAAAGATTTTAAAGGAAGGAAAATGGGTGCCACATCAACTGTACGAAAGACAAATGGAAAACTAAAAAGTCATCAGTAAAATGTTGCTTCAGTGGCACTTAAGAAAGTCTTTTTTACATTGACTTGTGACTGGCGATGAAAAGTGGATTTATTTTGAGAATCCCAAATGCACAAAATAATGGGTTGATTCAGGCCAACCATCAACATCGACTGCAAGGCCAAATTGCTTCAGAAAGAAGATAATGCTCTGTTTTTGGTGGGATCGGGAAGGTGTGGTGTATTATGAGCTTCTAAAACCAGGTGAAACCGTTAATACTGATCACTACCGACAACAAATAATCAATTTGAACCACGCTTTGATCATAAAACAACCAGAATTTGCCAGAAGACATGGCAAAGTAATTTTGCTTCATGATTGTGCACCATCACACACTTCAAAACCAGTTAAAGACATGTTAAAAGATCTTGCCTGGGCAGTATTAACCCACCTGCTGTATTCACCAGACCTTGCTCCTTCAGATTACCACTTGTTCCGATCGATGGCACACACACTTTCTGAGCAGCACTTCAACACGTACGAAGAAGTGGAAAATTGGTTCTCAATGGTTTGCCTCAAAACAAGAAAAGTTTTATTGGGACGGTATCTACAAATTACCTGAAAGATTTGGGAAATGTGTAGATAGCAATGGACATTACTTTGAATAAAGCACTTCTGATGTTTCTCTTGAAATTACCATGTTTTCTTTGATTACAAAATCTGCATTATTAACTGGTACACCTATACAGGCCTCTGGCCCAGACAGCTCTTCTGTCAAAACTCTATATGCATTGGGTAATGGGGAGCCTTCATCATTTGGATGTCCCTGCATCACCTCAACAGTCTAAACTCTCTCCCTAAGAGAATTATCAAAAACCAATAAAATCCAAAGTCACCTAAGCCGGAGCCTTTTTTCCTTTCCTTCACCTCCCTCCTGCAAGTTCCTTTCATAGCCACATCTTTTTCCCCATCCTCACAGCTACTGTCTTATTTCAGGCCCTCCTGGACTTCAGCAATACTGGGCATGGACTTTGGCAATACTCCTAGCTGATACCACTGCCTCCAAAATTCCTTCTGCCAACTCCAGTTTTTCTTTGTCTAAAGCATAAAGTGCAAATCTCTGTGCATCAGCTATGCCAGGTGAGATTGCTTTGCAGTCTAACTTTAGATTTTCCTTCTCATGTCACTCTTACCCTGGCTTCCAGATTGCTACTAACTCTTTAAAAAATTATCATGTTACTCGACTACTCACGTCTTTTCTTAATCCTACTATTTATTGAATGTTGACTAGATGCTAGTATTTAATCTCAAAGCA